CCCAGGGGACTATCAGTAGCTCATGATTCATAAACTACTGAAGTTTACCGCTGTTCAGAAAGAGTTTGTTTTTTTTTTTTAATAAAAAATAAAAAATCAGGAAGAGAAAACAAAAGAAGGACATGAGAGAAAGATGGTAGGAAATTTCTGGCTCCAACACCATGCTGTTTTGTAACTCGCCACAGTGCTGTATTAAATTTTACAATGAACCTGTCTATCCCTCGACGCCCATTTAAGTGGTTGTCGCTAGCTGTGAGAAAGGCACTGAAGCCATACTATACAGTGTTTTGATCTGAAACACTATCAGCTGTTGATGTAGTTTTCTTACAATGACACAATCCCATCCTATCTCCCATCCTTCCGAGACAACCTTGCCTATTCTTTGGTGAGAACTGCTCCATTGTACATGCAGACATTCATATTCTTGATAAGACAGTAGGGAAAAGTCCATGAGTCTCATCCTCTGCTAGTATAACTTCATTTCCCTTCCCCCTTCTCCCAAGAGTGAGTGGATGATCTGTCTCCCTGTGTTGAAAGGAAACAAGGTTCTCTATTCAGCTGCAGTCAAACATACAGTATGTGTTAAGGCCCAGACAGCCCATGGTGCTGGGTGGAGATACTAAAGGTTCATGTTTCTCTGCTGAGAGTTTTCACAGAGCAGAAATGTAATGCTGCTTTTTTGTTGTACAACTTCCGACTGACAAGTGGCAGAGCATAAAATCACAATTATTCTCATGGTGCAAGGCCTTAAAATGTAGGGGAAAAAAATGAATGTTGCTTGAATTAGCAATGTTAATACTGTAACGGGACACTAAATAGAAATGCTGAAATGGGTCACTGAAAATCTGAGTCCTGCTGATTACACTGGCCATTGCAACTAAGCATTTTGCCTAATCTCAGGCAAAACACTTTGCTTTTGAGATGTTCTTTTGATGGAATAGTAGCCTTTTTAAATAATAATTCAACCTTTATCTTCAACAGAAATTTTACAACATAATTCCTATTGATAACTGAGCTTGTGCAGTGATTTGCATTGTATCAAAGATAAACTCAAGTTCAGCATAACTTGTAAAGGAAGTTTCCTACTAAAAGTGACCAACAGCAACATGATTTGATTCACATCATAGAGGGTTGTTAGGTGGTGTGAACTGCATCCCTTTGCGAGAAAAAAGACGAGATTATACATTCCAAGAACAAATGGGTGTTTGGGTCACCAAACAAGGTTAGAATTAATTCAGAGCAACACTTCTGCAGTGCCTACATTGCAAATGTTACATCCTCAATACCAACCATGGATCTATAGATGCTTTCCTGTCCTGTAGCTCTTCATATTTGCTAACAGAATATAGCCTGTGTCTTCTGTGATGTGTGTAGAGAATATCAAGTATATAGATTACACTATCTATATACACACTATCTGTTCCCACTGTCTTCAATACAGTAATTACTTTATTGAAGTAAATTCCCAATTACTTCAATAAATAATATGGTAACTATAATTGAATCAGATTTTAATTAAAAAAAAAGTGTAGTTTTTACTTTTGGCTGACCAAAATTGAGGTATTTGTCAAATACCACTCTGATAAAACAGATTTGGAAAGAAACAAGTACTAAACCTCAATTTTTCAAACTCATTTTCGCATGCTCAAAAAAGCAAGAGCAAACCAAGTACCTCAGGAGAAAAAAACATACCATGGTCGTGTGGAAATATTGAGGAGCCTAAGGCTGTGTCTTAGCTCTGCCAACTATTTGCAAACTTGTTAGAGACTCAGTTTCTTCATTGGTACAACAGGGTATGATGGTAATTAACAGCTGTAAAATGGATTTGAGTTTGCAAGGAGCTTGCAAAATATTCTTATTTTGTCCAGCTTAATTGAAGACTGGGGACGCACTGACATACCATTTACCACACAGTATTTCACTAGAATTTTATTCAAATTTTGACATTTTGATTTCAATAATACTTCGCTGAGCTTCTACCTAAGCCTCCAGAACTTCAAAGATTCAGCCAGTATTAATTTATAGTTCTGATTTATTAATGTGAAGACTTTGAATGTTAGAAAGTTTGAGTTTTGTTACTATCTGGGAAATGAAATGGTTGTGCATTTTGTTGCTTCATTTCCACTTACTGCATTTGCTACAGCTGACTTCCCTGGGTTTTTGTTTGTTATCTCTGGTCAGCTGAAAATAACAATACTTCATGTTTGAACAGCAGTTTCCAATCTAATACTTTTACTTATTTTACAGAGACACTCTGATAATTTGTTGACACACAGAGTACATTCACTGGCTGATTTTTTTAGCCACAACTGAACAAGGCTGGAGTTCACCACCACATATGAATTCAGCTGGCTGAATCCACACTCCCTGGTGAAGATGAGGTTCAAGTTAAAGCCAATCCTTACCCTCCACTTGCATTCCCTGTTTTGCAAGACAGCTGGTACATTGTCAGAGAAGGGCTAAAACTGAAACCCAAAGCACAGAGTGTAAAGCTGAGCTAGCAGGGCAACACAGACAGGCTCATCAAGGCCTTAGTTTGTTCCTTGTCAATTTTTATGAAAAAAAAAAAAAATCCCAACCAAAAAAAAACCCTCAAACCCAGAAACAAAACCAACAACCCAACCCCAAACCAAGCCAAAATACAAAACCAAAAGCAAACAAACATGAAGCATCTAGAAATTCTTTTGCCAATGCAAAATTGGTGGTAACACCAGTGATGTCTGCTCTGTGTTATTCTACAAAATATACCAATGCTTTTGTGTATTGCTAGTGTTGGCTGATTCAAAGTCTGCAGTGTTTCTAGTAACTTCCATGGCTTAAGTTGCTCTTCCTACAAACTAATAATACTACTGAAAATTAAAGACAGAAGCACTTAATCAGCAACATTATTTTTTTTTTCCCAGTCCTAGTATTAAGTACTGTTTACTAATTCTGTTTATTGTATACGGAAAAGAAAATGCCAATTCATTGCAATTTCATCTGTTGCAGTGTGGCATTGTACTGTGAATTGTGACTCATTTATTACTATCCAGGATATCTAAAATACAAGTTTATCATAATATAAAGGATAGTACTCTTCATATAGTTGCCTTATTTCATCATCGAAGTTAAAATCAATAAAAGAAGTAGATTTCAGGAAGTTAAGGAGAGGGGAAAAAAAGACAAAGAAAATTTTTAGCAAAAACATGTTGCCAAAAAGCTCTTAATATTTGTTTTTCTAAGTACTTTGAAGTATATGTTGCTCGCTAAGAGCTAATAAAAGTATCACTGATGAAGTTTAGCTAAGCTGTATGGCTGCTTATTGTCTATTTTCATTTTGTCTCACTAAATAGCTAATTCCCTCACAGGATTATTCTAATTTCTTGTAAACTCCATTACTAATGATGGCCTTAAATGAAGGCATACTTCTGGATCACCTCATTTGGGACCTGACTTCTGTCCCATTAAGGCAACTGGAACATTATTATTCATATGAACAGGGGGCAGAATAAACCCCTTATCTGTGAGGTTTCACAGAAAGCATGCCTTACTCCAAAAAGAAAGATCAAACAAGCAGATCACTAAAGCCCAAAGGTCAGTTAGGAGGTCAGGTCCCATCTCCAGGCAAAACTGTGAAAATATTTTAAAACTCCACCACAAAAAATGAGAATGAGATTGACCCTTACGCTGCCAGATGTAAGAAAATGCATGTCTTTGCAAAACAAACTATCAACATGTTTGCTTTCCTTTTTAAGTCAGTAAGTTAGTTTAAATGAATAATCTCTTTCTTAAGTTAGATACCTAAGATAAAGGTTTCACAGTATACAGGTCAATCTCAAACCTACATTAATCATGAATAAGTTTGCGTTATTATTTCTCTCTACATTGCACATTTTTATCTGAAGCACATTTGAATTAGAAAACACTGTAGCGAAACTATTACTGTAACTGTGTGGAAATAACACTACTCTTAATTTTATTTCATGGCTAGCTATATTTTATGTGTCTGGCACATAAGATTATTCCTGTACATTTAAAATGACTTTCCAGAGGGAAAATCCCCAAAATTAAAAGCCAATATAATCTATAAACAAACTCCTTAAATTGAAAGTTTAGCATAAGATCAAATAAATTTCCATTTACAGTATTTGTTCATGTTTTAAATAAATACAATCTCATGAAAGATGCACTGAAATATAATTGTGGTTATATTAACCTGACTTTACCAACATTTAAAACGAAAGTGTTTTTTTCTAAGAAGTGAAATAAGGCCTTTTGGAATTCCCTTGCCTCTCCTCTGCAAATATCTTTTCAATAGTACAAACTTTTAAATGCTAAGAAAACTGAAGGCCACTTATTTCTTGAAAGTGAATGTTTTATGCTTTCCCCTTTATCATTCATTCCTTGCTATTGAAGCAGGCAGAATGGGGCTTAGTACTAGTGAGTTTAAATTGCTAAACAAGAGGCAAGTCTCATCATGTGGTTTGAATATCTACAAGAAACATGCAAAGAATAATAGCTGATTTTCTCTATTCTTGATAATGCTCCAGTTGCTTCTGAAAGATTATGCCTGGTTCCCCACCCTGAGAAGAGTAGATCATGAATAACTGTCCTTAAGAATTAGAAAATGTGTGAGAGTCTCCTGGTAGAACAAACTAGCATGCTCAGGTATTTTACCATTTATTAAAAAAACAACACAGGAATGGTGTTATATAATTATGTTCAGGTTTTCAGATTTCCAGTCTGGAATGCCTAATGAAGAAGTGTTCCTGTTCCAGCCTCCGCTGCTCTGTGTGTGTGCGTGTGTGATCCTTCAATTCTTCCTGCATTCTGAGTTTGCATTTCTAACGAAGCTGAACTGACAAAGCGTGAAAGTGGTCTAAAAGGAAAAACAAAGAAAGTGACCCTGCATTCACTGTGCCAAGACCAATCAATATTCCAGAAGCTCCGCTTTGCCCTCTCTTCTGATGTGTTTTTATTTTTTCAGAGTTGCGCTCACAGTCTCCTCCCCTTTCCTTAAGTTACAGTGATAGTAAGTTGCTGTATTCCAGAGCACATGCAGATTGTCAGTTTGCTCTGCCTCCCGCTCGCTCAGCTCTGCAGCTCTGCTGGAAAACCCCCACTTTACCTGCCACCACCGTGTTCTTAGGGTACTGAAGATCTGAAAAGGTGAGCCGATTGTTTCATTTCGTGGGGTTTTGAGTAGGAAGTCTTATTCTTTTTTTCTCTGCCTTTGTATGCTACTTAAATGTACTGATCCTTTTGGCTGTACCCATGCTCTTTATCTTGGTGTAAATTGTAAAGGACAGATTAGCTGCATTAATCTTGGAAAGAAAAGTCACCATGAATGAATCTTAAAAAAAAAAAAATAAAAATTAATTGTTCTGAAAAAAATGCTGCTTGCACACAGTAGTCATGTCCAACCTGGAATATTTACTAATTTAAATATCTAGCTCAGTCTCAGGATGTTTCCACTTTTCAAAAAAGCAAAACATACATAGCATTCTGTTAAAAATTAGACAGGATATTGCACCGAAGTGCCAATCTCAGAGCATATGGTAGAAGCGGTGATCAAATCCCATCCAAATAAATTTGTTACAACTTGCTATTTGCTCTAAAACATGCTGTTTGAAAACTGTGTACTTTTAGTCTAATTTATTAAAAGTATTAGGCCACGAGATTTAATAGAAGTAAGATGTTGTTTGGGCTACATATAAACAGAGATTTCAATGGAAGCACCTAACTTTATCCATTTATTAATTTCTAATTTCTTCACAAAAATATGCCAGTGTATTGACAAAGACTTCTGAAAATGAGAAAATACCTTTGTGCAGGACCCATTTTTTAATAAATTCATACCAAGCAGCCACTAAAAAAAAAGAAACCCCAAAAAAACCCTAATTAAAGATACTGTTCTAATCAAGGATTTTTAATATTAAAACATTTTAAGGTTGATTCAGTGTGTGATTTCTTACAATCAGATTATATCCCCATAATTGCTGTCAGGCCAAGTAAACATTATTTTGCAATGTGAATTTCTGTTGCAGTCTGAACTGACAAGCTAAGTGGAATATAACTTCTGATGTTTTACAGATGTGCTCTGAATAGTTCATACACTTCAAAGATAAACATTATCAACATAAAACTCTCAAAGGCATATTTTCTCAATAGTGGTTCAGGGGTAAATAAACTGTTCGTGCTGCGTTTTGCCATGTGAAAAAGAGGAATTCAGCCAATTCATTCAACCATTTAAAAACATCTGAAATGCAGAACATTTTAAATGTACCAGTTCAAGCAAAATATTTCTCTCCAATGAGTAATGTGAAGGTGAGCTGGAATTTTTTTCAGCTAATACAGGCCTGCTAAACAGATGAAAAGCAAGCCTAACATATAGTTTCAAACATTATACCAACTTACACTCCTATGAATTTTACTAAATTCACGTTTTTAAAAAGTTAATCCTGGATTTTACATCATGACAGCAATGCTGATTCATTTCTGAAAACACAAGACAACTTTGATCAATTCGTATGATCCTTCTTTCAGACTTCTTCAGCAGTCATTGAGGTTATCTATCAAAAACTGCAGTCAACAACTTAGATACTATAAATAGTACAAGTTTTACTGAAACATGAAGAATACTTGCTTCCATATGGCTAATCATTTCTCTGAAAATCTTACTGCAATATATGGTATTTCTTGTCTTCCAGATTTCTCCAGTACCTCCCACGGAAAAGAGTCTTCCACTTTTCTGAAGGGATATTGGCAAAAGTTAATTATAGGAGAAAAGTTTCAGCAAGATAGATGACTAAAGGTAACGGAGAAGACCCAAAAAGTGGAAGTAGGATGGAACGCATTCAACAAGGTGTCCGGAAACGTACCCTTTTGGCAAAAAAAAAAGTGCAGAGCATAACAAAGGATGATGTTAAAAGTTATTTATTGAGGAATGCCTTTGTGCTCTTCACCGTTGTTGCTGTGATTCTTGGTGAGTAATTTGTTCAGTAGGAATAATCTGTTCTCCAGTGCATCTGACAATGACGATTTGCCTGGGCAATTTGCATTACAAATGAGATCTCAAATTCTTCTGCACTGATAAGAATGTTCTGGCTTTGAGAGTTTTGGCATTGACAGCTGCATGTTGAAGTTTAAGGAAGAACCATTTTAACTATTCTAGTATGCCTAAGGAGAATTTGAGTGGAAAAAAATCAGTTGGTTTATGCTTCTTCTCTTAAAGAATTATATACAGTAAATTAATTGAACGTTTTCAGTGAAATCTTTTTCTACCAAAGCAAGCTGCTGCAAAATGCTCACTATGTAACTTATTTACCTAATCTACCAAAAAAATAACACCGTGCAAATGACAAACAGAAGTCCTCAATGAATTAAATTAAGTGGCATTTCTAAGCAAAGATATATATTGGAGCCTCAGTGGTTTTGGTTTTCCCCATATAAATGCAAAACAAGCTTATGGTCTCTCAGTCACTCACAATCTTACACATGCATCTTTCAGATGCAATTGGGGCAACAATGGCAATGTTACTTTTTCAAAAGACTGCAAGATAGCGCCTGAATACATGCCTTTTTAGAGTATACTGAGAGGAATCCAGAACATCAAATAGCATTTAGATTTGGAATGCACCAAAATGTAAATTTAAAATATTGCCACACATTTAGAAAGAGAATCTTCTGAGAAAAATATACAATTTTTGAAACAAATTTTTTCTATATAGTTACAGTATCACTTTCGATAATTTTCCCTTAACTACAGATTTTCTAAATTATACCAGATGTTTCCTGAAATACCATTCTTTTAGTGTGAGCAAGAACATTATGGCTTTACTGTACCACTTTAAGTTTTATTTTCTAATTAGTTGAAAATAAAAGCGAGTCTGCTTATGAAAACCCAAATATCAGCACTTAAAAGTAAAGGTTTATATCCTGCTCCTGTGTAGGCCCTAATGTCCTTGTTAGTGCTGTTCCATATAAATCTGCTTGCTATTTTTCTATAAATTTTTCAGGAATTAAAATTTTATAGCATTACCATTATTGTTGCTAAATGCCACTTCTGCAGGATTATTTTAAATTTATTTCAGGTTTGATGGTCCTTTTCTGGGAGACAATAATATCAATTTACATATTAGTAGACTAAAGTACTTCGTTGCTGTAACAGAATTTCAGTCAGTTGATATTTATCAACAGTATTTGATCACAAGTGAAGAATTTAAGCATTTTATCTACAGCGATCAGGAAGAACAGAACTAAATAAGCAGGTTTTGAAACACTGCCCAACCTCAAGTGAATGCAGTTTTATTATTGACAGTTACCTGTCAATACTGCACAAGACTATTGTGCTCTTGCAATTTCTTCAGTGTCATCTAAGTCCAATGTGACTCCCATAAATCTGGCAAAGTGGGAGCAGAAATGTAGGCTGGACAAGTGTTTTTACTGTTTTGCATGTTCCAGTTAGCTTTAGGTAACTAGTAACAAATGTCTGCCCACAGTTCCACTAGCACCTACAGCAGTGGCAAAGTATCAGTAAGGCTGGAACCTAAGTTCTAGAACTAATGAAAATATGCAGACTCATCTGAGCCATCTGCTCCAATTCTGCTAACAAACCTATAGATGTATCTGGTGTAATATGTAGAAAAAAGTCCTCTCATTACTATCATGGAATCCTTCAGATTTTTTTCACATTTGTTATTTGTGGTGTAATTTTACCGTACATATATATTAGAACAGGAAATTCACACTTGGTAGCTTATAAAAAGATTTTTCTGGAGAATCGTTTGCTGTCATAGAAATATTCACAAGTAGAGAACAGTTGGCTAAAGAGTTTGGAGGTGGTTAAGCTCCATCTGTCTAGTTTGGCAAGGACTATTCGTTACCACCTCTCCATTGTATGGTGATCTGTGAAAAATCAGATGGATCCCTTTCCTAGCAGACAGCAACCAACATTGTGAAATTAACCCACCAGTTAGCACCACTGGCTGTCTCATCAGAGATGCTTGCATGTGAGTGTAGTGTAGGTGGAAACCGAGCTATGCCCAGGCCAGGGTTGAATCATTTACAAGAAACAATGCTTAATGCTCTCTGTAATCTAAACAAACAGATTACATCAGTTATTAGGACTGTCAGTCCAGCAATTTTCATAAAGACTAAACTCAGGAAAAACAGAAAAGCAGTTTTTCTTCAGAAACATTTATTTCAGGCCTCTTTGTCAAGGTACTGACATGAAAAAGCCTATTTAATAGAGCATTTCCGACTGCTTTGCTGGGCAGGATTGATGCTGGTAGAGGTTAAGTGGTTAAGATCATCTTTCTTAGACCCAGTTACAGGACTGTAGTTTATAATGGACACTTGAGTTTGCGTCTGTGGAGACTTGCACTTTGTTACAAAGTGGATAGCTGCAACATGCATTTGTTTGTGGTGCATACTGATATTTTGCAGACAAGAGTAGAGGTTTTCTGGCATTCACATGATAAGGAGAAATACAGCCATTCACCCCAACTTCTGCCGTTACTCTGATTCTGAAATGAATTCTAACCTGAATAGCTTCTACAATACAAAGCCAGCTAATCTTTGAAAGCCTAATGAAATTGCAAGGAGCTATAATTCATGTTCAGAATTACTTGGAACTATTCTCCCTTTCCCCAAAACCTCATGAAAGGTCCTTCTGACTTCACATTCTGCATAGATAGGATCTGTATAGCACATTGTCATTATCATTGTTGTTGCTATTTTTAGTGAAATTTATCAAACTGCTTTCAAGCTCTTTGGAAAGCTTCAGGAAAAGCATGGTCAGTAGGTAAGTTATGAAGCAATTTTCAGATTCTTCTGGTACACCTAGAAATATTAATTTTCTGCAGTGAATCTGAGCAAGAGCCCATAGCTGAGAACAGTTTTGTGAGGTGAATTTGGGAAGCAGACCACTGGTAAATTCAGAGTGTCAGGATTACCACGAGCAATTTAAGGTAGGCTAGGGGTCACGGTGGCTCATGGAAAATCTGCAGGAAGTCTTACGAGCTTTGAAGTGCTAGCCAAATTACTGGCAAAATCTCAGGCTGTGCCCTCTCTCCCACGCTACTTAGGTCCATCATCCTGTCCCAAAAATGCCTTCCTTTCAGATACCCTTCCTTCAGTGGACTGTCTTGATTCTCTACTTACCTCCCATTTGTAAGAAATGCCACAAGGAGTCCAGACTTTACTCTGGCAGGAGTCCTAAATGCCAAAGAATCTCCTGTGGATTCTGAACTTGCACTGAAGGAAAGATCAAGACACACAGAGCTGCTGAGCAGAGATCCTGAGAAGCTGTTCACAGAGGAATACTGTTTTAATTGAGGGAATAGGTAAAAGAGGGGAAGGTTGTGGAGCAAGTGGTATAAAACACAGTTTCTGCATAGTTATGAAATCACTATAGCTCCAAAGATTTAGCTGAAATCCTTTGTACGCTGACAAAGTCATATGCTGCAGTTGTCCACTGGGACATTCAAGGGGAGCAGAGATAGAACCAGTTCTGTTTTCTGGCACCTAAGGGAGCATAGGAGTGGCTCTGTCATTGAACCCAGTCTTCTGTAGTTGCAGGGAATCTCACAATAGAGGTGAAATGTAGGCAGGCCCAAACATCTGTTCTACAACAGCATACACCATATCAATTCCAAAGATTCCAAAACTTTCCAACATCTTAAAAAAAAACAGGGCAAACTAGTCAAAAAGTACAGGAAGAGGGCAGGAGAGATGAAAGCATAGCCAATGTTCCTGTTTCCCTGAAAAAAGCATAAGAACTAAATAAAGACTGAAGATGATCCTTCATAGAATCATAGAATAGTTAGGGTTGGAAAGGACCTTAAGATCATCAAGTTCCAAGCCCCCTGCCATGGGCAGGGACACCTCGCTCTAAACCATATTACCCAAGGCCTCGTCCAACCTGGCCTTGAACACTGCCAGGGATCGAGCATTCACAACCTCCCTGGGCAACCTATTCCAGTGCCTCACCACCCTAACGGGAAAGAATTTCCTCCTTATATCCAATCTAAACTTCATAATACAGAAGAAAAAAAAAAAAAACACAACACAAAACCTCTGAAACATCTGAACAGTGAAAAGCTGGGCAGGGTAGCAGATTCTCTTATATCAACACACTCCTTTAATTAGAGTCCTAAGAAGTACAAGTCTGTAATATGCAGGTAGAATTCTGGGTAACACAAAAAACAAGTCTCTTGTGTGCAGAAGTGACCTTTGCTATGGCAGATACTGAAGAATGAGGCTGAGGTACCCAGAGAAGAGTATCTGACCCCATTACACACTGACAATGAACACGATGACAATGCCTAAGGCAGCTTTGGTAAAATTTGCATGAGAACAAACAAAAGATCATCACTATAGGGGAAACAGCTGTGGGAGGTGAGACCTATGTTAAAACGTAAAGAAAGAAATGTGATGCCAGACAAAAGATGAAGACATATACAAGAAAATCAAGATAGTTTGGGGACAGCAAAGGATAGATTAATTCTGTTTATGCTGATCTCAGAGGCTGTCTCTGTGCCAGTGCTCCCCTAAATAACCTGCACAGACAATTGCTTTCTCACTGAGTGACAAAACTTTCGTAAGTAATATTCTGAAAAAAATTGCTAGCCAAAACCTTAATTCCTTTTTTAAGAAATCTTTATGATTTGGGGAAAAACAAGAAAACAAACAAAACATAAACAGGCACTGTAAGATCCAGAGTAACATTTAAAAATACAAAAGATGGACTTTTTCAAAAAGGAGAAGTGTATAAATATAGGGAACTTCAATTCTGCTACTAACAGGACAGACTGTGACATGTGAACAGTACACTAGTTTAACAGTTACCATCAAAATAAAGCTACATTTGTGTATTATGATAATCTGAATTTCTTACTGTACAGCCTAGTGTAACTACCATACATGACACAGGGTAACAATAATAAATGTGGCTACTTTGTGAATTACAGTTATACATTCCTG